AAACTTAGCGTCTTGATTAAGAAAGTTCACATATTTTCCCAGCACTGAGTGCTGGCAAGTTGTGGCTATACTTGCTGGTTTCAAATGGAAAAAATCATTTGCTCATCACCTACAGTTCCAATGAACCCTTAACTGTGTAAAGGTAACATTTATTTGTGTTTTTATGAAAAACATTTACAGTCAGCCCTCTGCATCCATGGGTTTCACACTTGCCTATGGGTTTCACACTTGCCTATTCATCCAACGGGAGATAAAAAATATTTTTTTGGGAAAAAAAATCCCAGAAAGTTCCAAAAAGCAAAACCTGAATTTGCTATGTGCAGAGCACTACACTGAATTCACAAGAATCAATTGATGTGTAGGCACACCTGGCTGTAGCTTGTATGCAAATATAGGTGATATGGAAATACTATGCCGTTTTCTATAAGGGACTTCAGCATCCTCAGATTTTGGTATCCACAGGAGGTCCTGGGACCAATGCCCCTGTGATACTGAGGGATGACTATATTCTAATTGCAAATGGCAGTTGTGGAAAATTGAGAAAATATTGAAAGGAATAAAGCAATGAAAAACTACCCATCATTTGACCATCCAGTGATAGCCACCAAAATACGTATTTTGTATTTTCTGTCATCTTTATTTATGTTTATAAAAACCTCAACTTTCTTTTACTTAACATACTATGAGTATTTTTCCGTGTGGCCAAATATTCTTTACTAATATGATTTTTGGTGGCGGAACAGTAGCCATTGGATAGATGTATTATTTAATCACTTTCCTATTGTTGGACACCAGGGTTATTTCCAATTTATATATATCAATCTATCATCTATCAATCAACCATCTCTGAGAGGGGCAATTATCTATTGCTTTAAAAGTTATTTACATGTTCAACCTTCTTGATACTTAATGTCAATTGTCCTCCTCAAATATTATACATTTCACACAACCATAAGCAGTGGATAGAAGTTAAGGCACCAAGCACCAGCATTGGTCTTAGCGCTATTTGTACACATTTCATTTACAAATCAGTCTCCAAAAGGGTATTCCCTTGTGACCCACACATAGTTCATTTGGGCGGTACTGCTGTACCCCACAACCTACTACCATTAGTGAGTGCCCTTGTCATCACATGGACAGCAATTGGCTCAAATTGTTCATTGTGATGCTGGTGATGTGACCTCCTTAATGTTCTAAAAGATTGTTAGGCATAAATGCTTCAGTTCAGGATTTTTCTCTTAACCTCTCCTATCATGTTTAGAGTCAGAATTCAAATACTGTACAGTTAAAGCTACAGTATGCCTGGACTATAACTTGGTTCGAGGCATTTATATTTATGTCACTTTTCTTTGCTTAGTATACTAACACGGTGGAAAAAAGCAATTACAGTCTCCCCAAAAGGTAAAATTCTACTTTTTTGGTATATTACTAGAATTTTAAAAATAGGTTAGATAAATTACAGTACATGTAGGAATAAGTGCACATTGGGAGTTTTATATTTCATGAAAACATTTAAATGTAAAATTTAATTTCTTAAGAACTGAGGTGGGAAAGTAAAAATAAAATAAAATTTTAAGGTTTTTTTCTTAAGACATCATTTTAATGTATATAAAAAGTATATAATCCTATTTAAATTACATAGTTTTTCATCACAAAAGGAATGAACAGAGCACTTTTTCTCATGTCTGAATCTTGAGTCAAAATGGTTTGAATTTTGACTAAGGTCATTGAAGCTTTTATTCATTATGTTCTTTTCTCAATGACTTTGTTTTTGGACTTGTGGCTTAAATCAGTTGCTATTACTGAAAAAATTAAAGGATTGAAAACATGAAATGTTTTAGAGGACAATAATTATATTTTATGTTTCTATTGATACAGATTCTAACAGTAGGTGGACAAGCACTAAATATCAAAAGAGTGAATAATGTCACCCTAGAGAAGGGTGTACTCCCTTACAAACATTTTTTTTACTCATTCTTGTGCTTTTCCTGTGGCCCAATATCACTCAGTAATTTGATTTTACAGAAATGGAATATTCCATAAATATTTTCCAATCAAAGTGAATACAATGTTGTTACCTAAAACACCCTAGATTCCTTAATTTCATTCTCTCCCTGTCCCTTTTGGCCAAACAACTGAATACGGATATTCCTTTTGCCGTGTCTTCCTGTGAACATTACCCTAGTGATAGCTCCATATTTCTCTCATCTCATCATTCAGAAGCTATTTATCCATTTTTTTTCCACTGCCTCCTTCAAGCCTCCCCCTCCCCCTTCGTTGAATGCCTGTTCAGCCCCCACACATTCAGGCGTATTTATTCCGGTAAAGATAGTGACACTTATGGTTTATTCTAAGACTAAATCTGTGTTGCCCAATGACTAAGGACTTAAGCATGCACACCGCTTCTACACTTACCCTCCTACCTAACTTAACTACTCAACTTTTTTCTTTCTTTCCCTCAGAATTCTGTTTTGGCACAGTTCAGTTAACACACCACTTGCCAGGCCACTAATTGATTTCTGAAACCTGACATTTGTTTTTTGTTTTCTCCTATCTTCCCTAATGGTACAGCACTACTAAGCAAGAAGGAATGCAAAGAACTAGAAAGTTCAAAGTAATTGAGGATCTGTCCATTCACACTGTCTGGCATTACGCCAGTGTAGAACCTGGAACATTTGAAAAATATTTATCAAGTTTTAACCCTTTTTGCTGAGTTGATGAAGCAGGATTGCAGGGGTAACATTTGTGTGAACAGACATAGCAAGTAAGCTTGGTTGAACATGTTCTTGATATGTTCAGCATCGCATGGCAAATGTCTCAAAAAAGGATTACTTTCCAATTTCCGTACTATTGTAGAGTGCTAAGCTAGTTATTTTCTGTGAGATTGCAGAGCTGGGCATTTCAGAGAATTCAGAAATTCCTTAAAAGTGGCATCCCTATTTCATCAATCCTTATGTCAGAAATGAAATTTAAATAAATGCCACTGTATTTGAACAAAAAAGATTGTACTTAGCATTTCTATTGTAAATGTGCTACAAGCCCAACCATAGCTAGGTTCATATCTATATTCATTAAGAAAAGTGGAAATGTGAAAAAAATTAACAGGACTATAAAAACATCATTAAAATTATCAAATAGCTGGTTCTTTTGTTTTGGTTTGCACTGGGAAAGCTTTGTAAATCAAAGCATGCTTAAAAATGGTGTGAAATATAGAAACATTTCCAGTAAAATAACTGGATATTACTGCAGTGAAAATTTAGTTTGAAATAGCAGCAGGCCACTGACACTCTGGTAAAAAGAGAGACAAAAGGAAAGGTCTAGATAGCTTTAAAAGCAAATTAAAATATAAATAGATACCAAAGTGTATTAATTCTAAGCTAGATTTAAAGTTCAAAAGAATACAAAAGTTCTATTGAGAGTTACCTATATCACACTTGGGTTTTATCATGTTATCAGCTTGAAGTAACTAAAATCAAAATTCAATTTCTAAAAAGTTATATGAAATCCCATACAATTCTGTAGTTTAAGCTATTCAATTACATAATTGGATTCAATATTAGAGAAACTCAGGATAGCTTTTTAGAGGTGAAGAGGGAGATAGTATGGGACTGTTTGCTTAGAAAAAGCTTTGCAAAAACACTTACGAAATAATACTTTGGTAACATGAAAGTAGTCCTCAACCATTCTCAGAAAGCAGTGATCACAGCTATAAACAATGAATCATTGAATAACAAAAGGGCATGAAAAGGAGAAAAAATTTTCACAGCACAATTTTGTTTCCTAATAACAAATAAATACCTCTAATACTTAATGTGTATATTTATTTTTAAATTCTACACAGTGAAATGAGATCCGTACCTTTGATAGATTTACTCTGAAGTGAACGTTTTTCTAGAACTTATTTTTTTAACCTGTTTTACTGTGATTAGTAGGCTGTGTATATGTAAAATTGTCTAATGGTGCAGTGTGCTGTCAACATGTATACATCTGTAGTAGTATTTCAGGCATTTTTATTGCAGTTTATTGTTCTGGCTTCCAAATAAGCCAGATAAAATCATGTAGAAGAACATTAAGGATTAAGGGAAGTGGTTTCCTTGGGTGACTGATGGCAAAAATTCACCTTCCTATTATGAGTAAGTAAATGGATGGTAATACATTTGGCTATTACTTTGCAACAGATTTGGATTCCCAGTTTTCAGAACTGCTGTGTGTCTAATGTTTGTGGCGTCTTTGGTTGTCTTTTCGTAGGAAAAGGTGCCACGGTGTTGGGTAAATGTGCTACGTTTCTGTTTTGTAAATATTAAATTCCAATTTTGAACATACAGTGCTAGCAAAAAATAAGTCAAAGATGTAATGTCTATTTAAGTACATTTGATGTAGTCGTTAGTGCTTAAATTAGATTCCATGCTTCGGCTCGGATCAACACTGTAAATATTAAAAACTTCAAAATTCATATGGCCCATCCCCCTCCTCTCCACACACGGACACGAGGTAGAAATGTGTGTGAAAACTTCTAACATTTAAGTACTGTAGGAAAAAACAAGCTTTTGTGCAAGGACTTTAAAAAAATACTTCCCATCAAACCTTGTATTCAAGACATTCCGAATATGCTTTGTTAAATGGATATATTCACTGCTAAAGACACATAGAGACAAGATCTGTTTTTAAATTTGTTTATCATACCGCCCCTAGTTTTCCGCTAAAGAAAAGTACATTTTGTATATTTAAAAATACACACTCATTAAACAAGTCTTTCAAAACCTTAGCGCCCCCATCTAGCTGCCTTCTGGGTTTCAGCTTTTGAGTTTCAGGTCCTTGCACAACACCTAAGACGTGCAAAACTCTCTTTCTCTCTAATTCTAGCAGAGAACAGTCAGTGGAGATCTCCCTCCACGTCTCCACCCTAATTCCCTCTCTTCCTAGATTCCACCCGCTTCTCTCCTTCCCTCCGCCCCCGGCTCCGCCAGCTCAATCTGTCAGAGAAGTTGTGTACAAACTGCGCGGCCGCCCTGAGCGCGAAGCTCGTGGTCCGAGAGGGGTGCGGTCAGCTCGGAGGAGGCGGAGCCCTGGGCGAATTTCTTCCTTCTTATAGGCTAGGCGCTCCGGCCCGGCTGGTCTCGGGGCCTCGGGATTCGCCGCAGCGCTGCCAGTCTGGCTCGGGAGCCCCGCCCACGCAGAGTTGGGTAAAATAGACGCGGGCGTCAAGTGTCAGTAGTCGCGGGCCAGGTACGCGCGTTCGCAGCTCGCTCGCGGAGAACAGCGGTGGCGAGAGCCTGCTGCGGCGTGTGAAGGAGCGCGGTGGGGCGGGGCGGGAGAAAGTGGCCGCCCGGAGGACGTTGGCGTTTACGCGTGGCGGAGCGGAAGAGTTTTGCTTTTCGTGCGCGCCTTCGAAAACCGCGCCTACTGTCGGCTGAGGGGTCCGCCAGGAGCCTCCCCTCCTCCGCCCGCGGTTCCGCGCGGAGTTCGCCGGCCTGAGCCAGCGTGGGCGAGGTGGGAAGCGCGCTCGACACGCGCCCCGCGCCCGGAGTCGCCCCCCGAGTGCCCATGGCTACGCGGGTGCTGACCATGAACGCCCGCCTGGGACCCGTGCCTCAGCCGCCGGCCCCGCAGGACGAGCCCGTGTTCGCGCAGCTCAAGCCGGTGCTGGGCGCCGCGAACCCAGCCCGCGACGCTGCGCTCTTTTCCGGCGAGGAGCTGAAGCACCCGCACCACCACCCGCAGGCCCAGCCGGCGCCCCCGCATCCCCCGCCGCCGCCAGCCGCGGGCCCGCGCCTGCCCCCCGAGGAGCTGGTCCAGGTAGGAAGAGCCGCTCCCCTCCCTCCCGGGGCTCGGGCGTGTCCGCCGCTGCGACGCGCGGGCGACAGGGGCCGCTCCAGGCTGGGACGTGCGTCGGGGCGCACCGGGAGCCGGAGCTGGGGTGGGCGGCCCCGCCCTGCCCTCGCAGCCTGGACACTCGCATTTCGCAGGGAGGAAGTGGGGCCACCTGAAGAGGGGTTTCGTAGATGAATCTGCCCTGGCGGTTCCGTCAGTGAAAGGTTCCAGAGGGAACTGGGTGCTTACGCGCACCTTTTTTATTTTTTTTTTATTTGGAGGCTCAAACCTCGTACCTCACGCCAGCTTCACTTAGATTCTGCCTTTCGCCCTAAACCTCCTCCCTACCAGCGCTATGGCTTTGGAGGTCCCCCGTCCCGCGTCGTCTCGGGTTAAGTGGAAACGCAAATCGGGGTGCTGGAGAGGGGGGGGTTCCGGGGGGTGTTTTCTTATCTCTTGGCTCAGCCTGCTTTAGACGCGATGGAGGGGCTGCCTTGGGGAGACCGGAGTTAGAAAAGCAAAGGTGGTATTGGATGGAGCGCTTATTTTTCCTTGAAAAAGAAAGCCGGGGTGTTGTTTTCTTCATGTGCGCGTAAATTTCCTCCCGGAGCCGCGTTGAAAGCTGGCAGTTGGCTTTTACACTTGCCGGGCAGCCGAATTAGAGCAGCCGCCTGTTTCTTTCGCCCACGCAGGGAGTCATATAGCCCAGAAAAAACTTCCCGGGACTTTTAGCCTGTCCCAAGGAAAAAAAAAAAATTGGAAACATACCCACACGCAAACAGCTGGAAGAGCTAAAATCAGAAACCACTAACCACCGCGAGAGCGGAGTGCACGAAAGGGTTTAGTTCGGTTTATTTCAAGACGCTTCATTTAATAGCCCTTTGGTAGATTGTGTATTTGCTACTCAGCTCTTACTCCGGGGGGTCTGCGAGTGTCGCCGCGCTGTGAAAGGACAGTGGCATTTGTTAGAAAACTGACTCACATGATTAGAGCGTTAATTTTTATTTTTAAATCGTCTCTATCCGGGAAACCCCGTGTACATCTACACCGAATAATATGAGGTCGATATGAAATGCTTTTGAAATTAAATAACCAAAAAATGACTGTTATTCATCCGATTAAGATGCCACGGTTAATAGTTCCATGAGCCATCTAGTTGGGGTGTATTTTTTTAAATTTCCTTTTCAGTGTTAAAAATTAAGTTTTATGTTATACTGGGAGAGAAGATAGATGTAAAAAGACTGAGATTAGGTCCAAGCTGGATTATGTCCTTTAGAAAAATCATTTAAAAATGATTTTGTTACTTCAGTTTGTCAGTTTTCTGCTTAGGGGACACCAAGAGTGTCCCCTAAGCTCAGGTATGACTGAGCTTTTTACAGATTAAGGGAGAAGGTAGCATTGGCCCACTGAAGAGGACATGATAAATGTTTTGCTGATGACTGTGCTAGCAATACAGCAGCCTCTCCCCACCCACGGGCTCCTTAGCACCACTCTACCAAGGGAGTGATTTTCCCCTAGGTAATTAAAGATCTGTTTTAGATAGGGATATGAATAGGAACATTTCATTATCATATTAACCAATTACAGGATCTGCTGATTAAAATCAACATTTAGATCAGTTGAATGTGAACTTGTTTTGTTCTTTCAGTGGATGCTATGTTTTGCTGAAAACATTGTACTTAGGCTTCCATTGAGCTATAAACCAGAAAAGGCACCGAAATAGCCAAGGAATGTTTTATATTAGATATTTCAGCAATATTTATCCAAGCAAAAAAGAAAAAAATACTTTGTAGTAATATTTTTAAGGTTTGCTTAGCTAAAAAACACATTACTTATATTACATGAACAGAATCGAGGTTGTTTGGCAATATTACAATACTATACGTCAGTTGCAAACTTAACTGTGTAATGGGGCAGGGAATCCTACTTGTACCTGAGTGATAATAAAGTATACTTTATTATTGCATCAGAAAGGAATATGTTTTCTGTTTGCTTCCTTTTTTTTTTTTCTTGATTTGTCTCATTCACTTTTTGTCGAGAGTTGATTGTGGGAGCGATTTTACCAAATGTTATACAGAGTTTCGTAAGGTTTTGGTGAACCAGTTATTACACAATTGACAAATAAACCTGATAATGTTTATCACCAGTACTTAGAAGGAGTTTGCCCAAGAACTTTCAACAGGAATTGTTGGGGAATTCTTAGTAAGGACCATTTGTTTGTCCTTCATGAGATGATGAATTGGGTGGATTATGCATGTTTGTATCTCTTCTTTTTTAGACGAGATGTGAAATGGAAAAGTATCTGACACCTCAGCTTCCTCCAGTTTCTATAATTCCAGAGCATAAAAAGTATAGACGAGACAGTGCCTCAGTCGTAGACCAGTTCTTCACTGACAGTGAAGGGTTACCTTACAGTATCAACATGAACGTCTTCCTCCCTGACATCACTCACCTGAGAACTGGCCTCTACAAATCCCAGAGACCGTGCGTACCACACATCAAGACAGAACCTGTTACCATTTTCAGCCACCAGAGTGAAACGACTGCCCCTCCTCCGGCCCCGACCCAAGCCCTCCCTGAGTTCACCAGTATATTCAGCTCACACCAGACCGCAGCTCCAGAGGTGAACAATATTTTCATCAAGCAAGAACTTCCTACACCAGACCTTCATCTTTCTGTCCCCCAGCAGGGCCACCTGTACCAGCTACTGAATACACCGGATTTAGATATGCCCAGTTCTACAAACCAGACAGCAGTCATGGACACTCTTAATGTTTCTATGTCAGCCGCCATGGCAGGCCTTAACACACACACCTCTGCTGTTCCGCAGACTGCAATGAAACAGTTCCAAGGCATGCCCCCTTGCACATACACAATGCCAAGTCAGTTTCTTCCACAGCAGGCCACTTACTTTCCCCCGTCACCACCAAGCTCAGAGCCTGGAAGTCCAGATAGACAAGCAGAGATGCTCCAGAATTTAACCCCACCTCCATCCTATGCTGCTACAATTGCTTCTAAACTGGCAATCCACAATCCACATTTACCTGCCACCCTGCCAGTTAATTCGCAAAACATCCAACCTGTCAGATACAATAGAAGGAGTAACCCCGATTTGGAGAAAAGACGCATCCACTACTGCGATTACCCTGGTATGTGATCTTACCTCGTTGAAGCATCAATACATGTATTTAGTATTTCTGTGTGTGAGCCTTTTTCCAACCTCAGGATTTAAATTTTAGAGACAAGTAGTGCTTGACAATAAAAGTCACTCACTTTGTTCTTTGCATATCCCAGTCTCGGTGCCTTACCCTGGTATGTAACCATTTAGTTGTCCATTGCTTATGTGATGTGGAAATAAAAGACTGTAGCATTCTGGAAAAAAATTACGTTAGACATTTTTTCTCTTTGAAATAAAAATTTGAATTTTGAGTTAGCCAGTTATTTTGTCTAACACAACATTCTCCAATCATAAATTGGAGTTTTTAATTCTAAATTAAGTACCTTGAAAAGAGATTACCTAAGTAAGGTAGGGGAAAATAGAGTTTGGTAATGAAGTGTGGGGACTGAGTAGGCTGCTATAAGACAAGACTGTCTATGGATTTCAGGATAGCTCTGATAGCATATGAGCATATACTCACTCATGAATGAGATACGTGGCCCAACATATAAATTGATGACGGTTATGAATGTATCTACAAGTTGCTGGCATAAGCTAGTTTATGATTAATATGGGATATAATTTATTGACTATAGCACATGATATGGCATGGCATACGAAGTAAAAAAACAAATGGAGGAGTACAGAAAATTTCCGTCATCTTGGATAATGGTTTAACATTGTCAGCTCTAGAACCATTAAAAATTTGTAAATCACTGATGTACGTGTTACTAGTGCAAAGCACCTACTGGAATGTAAATATATTTCCCATTTGTAGCTTGGCCTGATTATATCTGTGCTCTCTCTGCTAAAGTGATACGAACATAAAGCAAATCACTCCTAATACATTTACTAAGGTGATGGGGGGGGGCACTTTTTAAAACTTTTAAAACTGAAGCTTCAGCTATCACATGTAGCATGAGAGATTTCTTCTTTAAAGCCATATTTTAAACATTGAATCATCAAATGTAAAGATTTCAAAGGATCTCCAAAATGACAAGCTGTTCTTCCTCTCCTGCTTTATTTTAGGCTGCACAAAAGTTTATACGAAGTCTTCTCATTTAAAAGCTCACCTGAGGACTCATACTGGTATGTAATTTTCTTGTTAATTCTGTGAGTTGTGTAAATAGTGTAAGTGGTATTCATCCTTTTAAAAGCCAACACTTGTTTGATCTCTTCTTTCTTCTGTCAACTTTTATTTTTTAATGGCCTACCTTTTCGGCACTGACTTGGCTCAAAATTCAGTTCAATGAAAAAGCCTGATTCCAGGAAGGCTGATGTTCCCTCATTAAGGCCTTGCCCTGTCACCTCACATAGAATTAATTACCTCAAAATGTAAACAACGATGTTTACTAATGGATTTTATAACTTGTAATGGCACTGCTATTCCTTACCATGAAGGAAAAAAATGTAACTCATTTTCTCCGTTAACGAGTCAGTTGGCTTCTATGAATCTATGTAAAATACTGAAAACTTTTCCATTTGGCATGTAAAGCCTAACTGCTTAATACTTATCTTTAGTTTTACCTTTAGCCTAAATGATCAGTGTTCAGCAGCTTTTCTGTGCTTGATGAAAGGAAGGGCCGAAATTGGGAAGGGCCGAATTTGCAGATTATTAAAATCAGGCAAAGATGAGGGTCATGGTTTAAAAGTTTTTCTATACCCTACTTCAGCCCACATTTGAGAGACTTAATTCTAGCTTATATTTCATTCCTGTTCAAAATATGCTTTAAGGTTTAGCCCCTTTAACTTTTATTTATTTTATCAGATGTATACAATCACTTTTAAATGCTTTTTAACCTTAAAACTTTTTATCAGAACCTGTTTTAGGATGAAACTAAGTGGCATGCTGTCAAATTTTCCAAATACCCAAAATATTTTCAAACATATAGATGGTTGCTATTTGTAATTTTCTTAAAAGGACAGCCCTAAAGGAAAGAACTTATACAAAGTGATTGTGTTTTATTTTTCTCTCATTAAATGCAGCCTTTCCTAAAGTTCAAAGAATAAGTTTGCTAATAAAAGCAATGACCTAGCAAAATGTTTTATTCCATCATTACCATGGAAACCGAAATGTTCAACAGTTCCTTTGAATGGGTTGTTGGATTAGAGTGAGGACTTGAATCTCCCCAGGCTAGATGTTACTATGGAAATTGAGTTTTGATAAATGAAGTAGTTATCTCTAACTGCTGCATTAAAAAGTAAAAGCCTTTGAACGAAGGTCAGTGCTGAGACGAGCACTGAGAGGCCTATGGCTGCAGACATTTTGTATGCCTGCAAGGTATTGCTTGACATCCTAGTGATCAACACTACTTATTAAATTCTAAATAAAGTTGGTACCGATGTGGTAGATTCCAAGGCTTTCTGAAAAATTGAAAAGACATATCATGTATTTATCCATGAAACGAATGGATTGTTTTGGTCTGATAGACAAATTGATTATATAAAGGGAAAGATCCTACATAAGCAGCCCAAAGTAGAAGTTATAGTTAAACACCCATTAAGCATAGAACAAACTCAGTCTAAGGTTTTCAAAATACAAATGACAAGGCCAAGTAAACATTCCATGTAGAAATATTAAAATAGCCTTTTATAAAATGTATGTTATATTAAGGGAGGGAACACAAAATGGGAAGCGGAAGTAACTTTCAAACATTAGGACTATTGTTTTTTCTTCTTTGAAAGTCCTTGAAACTGGAGATAGGGAGGAGGGAACATGTTTTTCATGAGGTTAAAGTCTCCTCATAAAAGAGGGGTGCAATTGCATATAGCGATGTAATCAGGTGCGATTGCAGGAATATGGTCAGAGCATATCTAAATGGCCTTGCAACCCCTGCGAGTCAGGGTTTAATGCTCTTCCCTATACCTGCAATTCTGGAACTTGACCTGCTGGTAAAAAAAAAAAATTAATAGTGGGCTGTCTTAACAGTGCTTGTAGTAATAAAAAGAAAACGAAAAGAGGACCTAGGCCTAGTTTGAGTCCTATGCATCAACTCGTAAACATGTGGCCATCAACATAGAATGAGTGAGACCATTTAATCCAGTTTAATAAAGTTTTGTTTGATAGTCTCAAATGCCCTGGGGAGGGCTTGTAGCCGACTTGTTCATCTGGCTAAACCCGTTCTTGGGTAATCATAGAGCATTGAGGTTGTTTTCTCCTCATTTCTGGTTTCTAGACAATGCCTTTTAAAATTTCCTCTCTCATTGCATCCTCCCCTCCCTGCCTGTTGTTTTTTAATGAATGTATCTGAAGCCAGCAAAGGCTTGTTTTGTTTTTGCTTTTTTCCTTTCAAGGCCTAGGCATTTCCAAAGCACTTCTCTCACTTAATAGTTTTTTTGTTTTCTTTCTGTTCCCCCATGCCCAAATTATTAGAGGATTTTAAAAAAACATCTATATGGGAATGTTGATCTTACTATATTTGATATAAAAAATATTTTTAAATGATTACCATTTAAATGTGAAGCATCCTAGCATTTCTTTGGAATATAATTATAAATGCTTTAAAATGTCAAGTTACCTTATGTTTTAAAAATGATTTAAGCAATTAAAACTACCTCCATCTGAAACAGTCTTTCCAAAACAAGACCTTTTTAAAATATTTGCGATGAAAGAATAAAAGATACTATTAATAGTTTCTTGAACCAGAAGCCTCATAGCATTCAAGTTTTTCTAAGTTCATACACTTTGATTTTTTTATTCAGAAAGAATATACAAAAAATACAAAGTTATGTCTTTGGATGGTTTGACAAAATACCTGAAATGTACTTTGACTATTCCAGGAAATAATTGTATTTCACCAAAACCATATTATGTTTTTCTACACATATGATAGCATACTTACAGGCCTATAGAGACAGGTACCTCTTGTAGGGGTGCGTGGTTGTTTGTTACTTGTAATGTGTGTATATGCATGTCATACCTCTGGTTAGAAATAATTAGGGCTGCTTCTAGGCAACAGTGTCAAGAGGTGGTATATTTCCAAATAAAAATATTTCTTATCTCTGTTACCGGTTCCTTGGTATGCCTTTGAGTACCGTAAGTTAAAATAATTGCTTTTACACTGAGTGTGGAAATTTGTTTGAAACTTGTTAGTAAAAAGTGCTTTTCCAAGACAAAGTTCTGAAAAAGCAAATGGTGAACTCAGTACAAATAGATGTTTGAAATCTTACTGGTTTTAGTCATGTGTGGATGTGCACTTAACCCTAGAGAATATGCTAAAGCAATTGGGAAATTAGGGGATAGTAACATTTTTAGATCACTTATCAGCCTCAACTATCTGGAACAGGGCAGAAAATGAGCAGTTACACAGAGAAAGTCTAAGCAGCACACACACTTGACTCAGGTATCCCTTGGGCCCAGACTCCATGCACGGGCTGTTACGGGTGTACCGAGTGACCCCAGAACAGCTTGCTAAGGGCGGGCAAGAAAAGGACAATTGGAAACAACCCCACAGAAGAAAAGGGAGACCTACAAAGAGCAAAGGAACACAAAATGGACTCTTTGAGTAAAACACTATATTGTTAGTGCTGCGTTTTACAGGGAGTTGTGTTGGGATCCCTATAAATCTTGGAAAGATTTTTAGCCGAAGCCTAGTTGTAAGTTCCCATGTTCTGCCTTACTTGCTTATGTAGGACACTATTTCCTAATGACGTTTTTATTACGATGTCACTATGTATGCTTTAAAAAACATAATCTCTACTCTAGGCTTGTTGCTAGGTATTGATTTTGGTTTAAGTTTGGGTACTAAAAAAATCCTTAGGTATAAATTTCTGTATAGTTATTTGCTCTTCATTATTATCTATTGACTATATTAGGTATAGAGTTTTATTTAAAGATATTGACAGTGTTTGACAATAAAGATATTTTTGTTCTCCACTAAAAGAAATATTGGAAATGTTCTGAAAAATGAGTTTGTGTGTGTGTGTGTGTGTGTGTGTGTGTGTAAGTGTAACTGGAAAGGAGTGAAAGGCTTTTAAAAATATACAGGAAGGATTTCACTTCCTTGGAAAATTATTTGAGCTGAAATCAGCATAATTTATATATTATATAATATATCCAAAAATCATAAATGGACTTAATAGAGATGAATGATACAGTTTGGATCTAGAGATCAATATTGATTAAATGTTGGTAGAGGTTAAAAAGTTTTGCAGGATGAAATTATTTACTGCCCAATGTTTTTCGAGTCTATATTTGAAGACTGCAGGAAAAAATAGCCCATTTAGCCTGTAGTATTAGATGTTACTAGTTAAACGTTCTCAGATTATTTTCATTTGCAGCATTATTTTCTATATTGACAATTTCAGGCTTATGTAAAAAAAAAAAAGTAGTTGTTTAAGAGACTTGCCGGTTCAGACTTCTAGAGAGGTATTTATGAGCTTGAAAGCTTAGAAACAATTTCTTTTTAATGACTCACTGGGAAGATTAAACTTTGCTTCTAGGACTTGTTCTTTCATCTGAAAAACATTTACATAGGAAATTGATTAAACGTTGTTTAGAGATGATAAAGCTTATCAAAGGTTAAGAAGTTTAATTTGATTAAGCAAACATTTTTGACTGATCTTGTGGAGAATCCAAAGAGAATGTCTTCTTCCATTTCGTTCTTATAAACTAGTGAGAGAAGATAGTTCAACAAGATTAAATAGAATTGCCGACATTGAAATAGAAACAATCAGATGTTTAGGTAGAGAGAATGTAATGTGTTTTAAAGCAATAATTTAATCACTGAAGATTTTTACTTTGGCAGATATTTTTAGTTCTATAGAATGTAGTAGCTGTTTACTTGATGACCTACATCTTTTCTGGTGAAAGATTAGAAACAAAGTAATGTCCTACTTTTAGTAAAAGTATCTCTGTAGCAGCATTCTTATTCTGTCAGCCTGTATTATTTATATTCAGGTATCTCCAACAATTCTAATGAAGGGTAGCTTACTGCTTAAAAGTGAACTGTAGGTAACTTTCATTTTAAAAAAACATGTAGGCAGAATACATTTCTTTTTGACTAACTCTACAAAAGCAAAACTTTTTTAGAGTTGAGAGGAATCTCCTAGTCAGGGTCCCCCATTAAATGCAAATTAAAGGGAAGGAT